ACCCAAAGCAACCCCGGTATGTGCCCTGACCAGAACCGAACCATGACCTTCTGGTTCAAGGTCGATGCTCAACCACTGAGCCATGCTGGCTGGGCTTGTTCCCTTTCTCGGTCTCAACAGGATAAGAACAATCTCTGCTGAGCAAAAAGATTATTTAGGTGTTTGTTAACTTAAAGTGCTACCTTCACTTCTTCCGGGGATATTTAAATTTTAAGGAGCAATTTTAGAACATTTAAAACTTTAGGATTCAAAAGAATGAGACCCTAGGGGTGGACTGGCAGAGGGGAGGGTGACGTACTCAGGCAGGCGTCACCCCCTCAGCTGACTTCGACCTGATCTTTTCATTCCAAATCCCATCCTCTTTCCACTACACTCATGTTAGTCATTACCATCGGCATATCTCTACTGGACCAGCAGTTTATTTTTAATGCCCAATTGGCTTGAAATCACTGCTAAAACCTACAAGTGCAGCAAATGGCAATCTTAAATATGTTCCTTTCAAGTGCTCACCTATTTAGGTTTGATAACACTGAAATAAGGCTGAAATGTATTTCACTGTAGATATACTCTTAAGTTAGTTGTTTTAAAAATGTGTCACTATAAACTTAAAAAAAATTGTTGTTGTTGTTAATCCTCACCTGAGGATATATTTTCCCCTTGTTTATAGAGAGAGTGGAAGATAGGAAGGGAGGAAAAGAGGGGGAGAGAAACATTGATATGAGAGAGACACATTAATTGGTTGCCTTCTGCACACACCCCAACCAGGCCAGGGACTGAACTTGCAACCCACTTACATGCATACATGCCCTGACGGGGAATAGAACCCAAGACCCTGCGTTGCATGGGCTGGTGTTCTAACCACTGAGTCACACCAGCCAGGGCAACATTTTTAAATTTTTTTCACCACTCCATAAAGTTTAAATACAATTTTTAAAAATTTATTTGAGAGACAGAGAGATATCGATTTGTTGTTCTACTTATTTATGCATTCATTGGTTGATTCCTGTATGTGCCCTAAATGGGGATCAAACCCACAACCTTGGTGTATATGATGCTCTAACCAACAGAGCTACCTAGCCAGGGCAAGATTTTTAAAAACTGAAAAAAGTTTGCTAAAATGGAAATGTATTTACAGGACTTTTGCCAAATTAGTTTCTAAAATGTTTTCTAAACTCAAAATTATTCTCCAGCATTTACTTTTCCCTTATAATATGTTTATAATAATCATTTGGTGTGTCCTATAGACAGATATGATACATATTATGAAAATACTTTTCTATAGAAACAGTAAATAATTATAATGCATATTTTTATGACTTAAATACTTTAAATACATTACTTGTTTTTACTCATATATAATCCCATGTATGTTTTGCTTATTATACTAAAGAAACAAACTTTCCCTCTCTTCTCTTAAAATTTTTTTTATTTCTTACTAAATTCTACTTTCTTCCACTAAAACGTAACAAAGTCAACAGAACAGTTGTACAGTAATGAGAAAACCAACAAGGATCTCCTTCAGAGTAGGGCTGAAGGGAAACAATTTGTAGTAGTTAAGATTTATTCCCTTATCCTACCCTCTAAATATTACATCTCTTAACAAAGAATTCTTGTTTAACTTTATTGCAAAGTGTGTAGCAGGGCGGTGTTTAGAAATAGTACCGATCTAAATGCACATACGTTAGTAGTGCTAGCTGTGAGTGAACCCCCCAAAAATGAGAAATTCAATTTGTGACACTGACATCTCCTGTAAACAAAAGAAAAATATCAAGAGTGTCAGGATTTTTTTTTTAAAGTCAGTATCAGACTGCTCTTAACATCAATAATTGCTATCCTAAAAGTTACTAATAAACAAGGAACCAGAACTCTGAGCTTAATAGTCTTTCCTTCCACTCCTTCCCTCGATCATAATGAGGGCATTAGTTTCAGCTCAGTTTTGAAGTTTCAGAGTCTTGAGTTTAAAAGGAACATTTCTGCCCACTTGCATTGAACAGCCAGGCACTGTTCCAGAATTTCACTTCACAATCCACACACACTATTTTTGCTATTAGACATTTATAGTAATTGTGACAAACACATCATTGGTTTAAGTAAAATTAATTATCTGTGTGTGTGTGTGTGTGTGTGTGTGCGTGTGTGTTGTTCTTATAGAATAGCTAAGAGAGGAAGAATTCAACACTGAAAAATACAGCAATATAAAATGAATCTATTCGTAGATACCTAGGGGCCACTAGTTATTTTTGCTTTCCTGTGCCCACAGGGTATGTGCTAAAAGGGTTACTGGTCTACCACCAGTATTACCAGGACCATCCTGGGAACTGGGAACAATGGCGAGCAGGATGCACCCCCTGCTCGAAGGCGTGGGGTGTAGCTAACACTCGCGCAGGATGGGAGGCGACCGCGTGTAAGGCTTTGGGTGCCCTGTAGAGGGAGGGATGCAATGGCGCCCCTAATCCTCACTTTGGGTAAATAAATAGACGAGGGAAGGGGAGACCGCCACTTCCAAGGAAAGGAGGAGACAGACGGGGGAGTGTGGCCGCGCCGGGAAGATCGGGTACGTTTAGAGCGACGAAAGAAAGCATTTCAGGTGAATTTGGAACTCGCTCGGGGAGGGGTGCGAGGACTGGCAGGCGGTGGAGAGCCCGCTGGAGAGGAGACGTAAATGAAAACGAGATTAGGAGGGCCTTATGCAGCAAACTTAAGGAGATAGGGTTTTACCCGGAGGCCACAGAGATCCCCTAAAAGATTTAAACGAGAGAAACATCCTCTGACTCACTTTAAAATAATCTGATTGAAAGATCGAGCTTTGGTAGGGGGGAGGGGGCGGGAGGCGGGGGAGGGGCGAGGAGCAAAGCCCCGACGCGGAGAGCTTACCTGGGTGATGGAGCTGGTACCTGCAGCCGTCCAGGGGGCGACGCTGGTGGCCTGCACGCGAGGAGGGGCCGAGCGCGGCAGGGGCGACCACCGTCGACAGGTTGCACGGAGGAGGACGGATCCGGGGCTTAGTGCCTGGAGGATGAAGTGGGGGGGGCCCGTGGCCAAGTTGTCGTGATGCCGTTGCTAAAACGGGAAACACGGAAAGTTTGGAGGGAAGGTGTGCAGCTCCGCTGAGTACACACACATCGAGGACGAGCTTTCGGTGGCACCCAAGTTACTCGTAAATACGCCCGGACTGCAGGGCGGCGTGGTCTGCGAGCAGGATGAGCTCTGCGAGGGGCCCAGCCGGTCCGGGGTGCACAGGGCAGGTGGCCGGGACAGCTCCCCAGGGGGCCCACCCCGGGGCGGGACAGTGCTGGTGTGCCACTTTTCTCCAAATACCCACCAAATCACCAAATCACCACGCAGCATGCTGCGAGGCAGACGCGGGGTTCACTGCTCTCATGTTGCAGGTGGGAAAATGGGACCTTGGGGTAAGGGCTTGTTCCTGGAGGTGAACCGTGACGTCCAGGCGGCCAGCACCGCCCCCCCCCCAACTCTGCACATGAACGCAATGCACCCGATGGCTGACGTCTACTCCTCTCACATGTTAGGTAGAGGAGGAGGTCACAGAAACAGGTTTTCTTTTTCAACGTCTGTGTTCCTTTTTCCCAAACCCCATGGAAAAAAAATTATGTGATCAACTTTCAATTTTAATAAATATCATTAAAAAGTAAACATATACAACCACTTCCCTTAAAAACACCAACAGAAAACGCGGGCAGAGGTGCATTTTAGAATATATCTCTACCCGTAAGTACACGCGTTCTTCACGTTCTCTGTGCGGTACAAACAGTTCTTGACAGATTCTGGCCTGAAGCTCGTTCGCTCGGTGCGTTCATCCCCGGTTTCCCGACCTCCGGGAGGCGCCTACTCGGCCCCCCGGCACCGCCCCTCCCGCGCCCCCCTCCGGCCGCACCACCTGCTCCCGGCGCCTCCCCGTTCTCCCGCTGGCCCGCCCGCCCGCGCCGGTTCTCACGGCCGCGCCCGCCCCTTGCACTTGGCGGAGCTGCGGAGTCGTAGCCCGCCCGCTGCGCGCCAGCTCCCCGGCCCCGGGGCGCTCCGGCTCTCGCTCGCTGCGGCCCGGCGCGGCGCCCCCCACGAAGTTTTCCCTCCCGCACGGCCCCCCGCCAGGGCTTGGGAGGCGGGCCCTGGCCGGCCGGCGCTGATTGGCTGCCTCCTG